TGGGTTTATGGTGGGTTCTGATGGGTTTATGGTGGGTTCTGATGGGTTTATGGTGGGTTCTGGTGGGTTCTGGTGGGTTTATGGTGAGTTCTGGTGGGTTCTGGTGGGTTCTGGTGGACACACAGCTGCTCTCACCTTTAGGTTCACTGCAGTAGAGTCGACGTTGAACCGACTGGAATCTGCGACAGGACAGGAAGTTAGCCGGAGTCCGACTGAGGTTCTGGAAAAGACAGAAGCAGAGTCGGCTGAATGCGACCACACAGACACACTGCTAATGTTCTTTATATTATTATTTCACCTTTATTCAACCAGATAAGAACAAACACTCATTTACAGATTACATTATTATTATTTAATGCCGAGAGAAAACCTGAGGAAGTTTACGTTTTCTGTCTGATCGATTACGGTGACAGATTGTATCGACGTGGTTGTTTGTCTACAGAGGTTAATGTGTTTTATTCTCTGTGTATAATGTTAAAATAAGAGATTATTGATCTCAATGAGACGTAAAGATATTAATATGAGCCAGTGAGTCGGATGGTTTTAGGATTAATCATCATTATATTAAATACTTGAGATCCAGTGCTGTGATAAACTTTATTTAAGTCTCTTTTTAATGCTTATTTCCACATATGGTCCATTTAAACAGTTTAATCTCTTTATTTATACGTTGGTTTTATTATCCGGTTTTAATTCCGCCTCCAGTGTTTCCTCACTGCAGACTGATGAGACAGTGTTTTCTATTTGTATTGATTATAAAAGACCTTTATTCTGTGTGTGTGTGTGTGTCTGATTGATCGACTGACGCAGCGTTTCCTCGCTGAGCTGCAGCAAAGCGACACTAAGCGGAAACTTGATACTAAACAGACTGTAACTTTGGAAGATATCAGTTAAATAATCAAAGGTCCAGTCTGAAGGATTTAGTCGTTTCCCCCTCGGAAGAAAACCGCTTATTCTACGGTAACAAAAGCACAGATAGATCCTATATCCAGCTGATTAAACACACCTATAGATATTACATTACATTTCCGACAATAGCTCCTCCTCAATGTTTCACACTGGACCTTTAAGTTCATCTGAAGCTGCCTGAGTTTGACAAATTAAAGCGGGTATCATCCACATACAGTTTCCTCGCTGAACAAACAGTAAGAGGGAATTTAACAGTTTAACTCACGAAGCCTTTTAACTTCAGCTCATCTTATAATCCACAGAGCGACACTAAAGCGCCTGAAGAAGTGATCGTTTTGTATAAAGACAAACATTTACAGCTACCAACACACAATGTACACACGGGTGTGTTACTGTGTGTGTGTGTGTATTGTGTACGTTGAACCAAACAGATGCCCGGAGGCAAAACTGAAACCAGCAAACACATTTCAGCTTGAACAATATGCAAGATGATTAATAAATCCAAATAAATTCAATTAGAAACGCAGAAATAAAGAACAACAATTAAAGAGTGCAGAACTTCTTCTTCTCAGCAGTATAATGATTAACCTCTGGCAGCTACTTTACCTGTTGTTTTAGTGTCATAAGCAAAGTTAGACAGTGTAAACAAATGTAGTTTTAAAGCTAACTTCGCTTTAAGTTCTGTTAACAACCCAAACAACAGGCCTCTCTTAATGAAGAACTAATGCAAGTACTACTTTAGTGGCACATTTCAACATGCACGTCATTATAATTAATATATAATAAGTATATTAATAATACAGCTGGTTCCATGTCGTTGTTTTAAGTTAATTATAGTTAATGTCTCCACATAGAAAAAGTGCTTTTTTCTTGCAATATAAGTTATTTTCTTATAAAGAATCTAAGCCGAATTAAAAGGCAGACTATAATCAGGCAGATGAGGTGTTACATGGAGTTTTACTTTATATAATATTTCGTTAATAAGCAAACAACCGCTGAATTGAGCGTTTTCCAAATGGGCTCTGGGATTTATTCGAACCAGCTACATCTGCGCTCCTCTTAAAACACACTGGAGTTTAAATCTAATTGACACATGCAGATTAAGATATAGGTCGTAAACTGACACACAGATTAACCTCAGAGACAACATTTAATCCACAAAACTTCCACCTTCACCTACCGGCGCAGCGCAGCTTCTGAATCCGGCTGCGGAGAGCCGAGCGGCGGCC